GCTGTACAAATTTTGCCTCAAAGGATGTAGAATTAGCCAATTTTTTAGCATGTTAAAAGGACAAAAACAATGACAGCTCCAGTGAACTGGCTTCATGCCACAACAGAGACATATCAGTTACATAATTACCATGAGCAAACAGAGGAGTATGTGAGTTATTTTCTTCTCTATGTGTGTGTACTTGTGTATGTGTGTGTGTTTGCATGCTCCAGCTGTGCTGTCACTCAAGGAAACCCACTACACTCATAACACCCACTGTCCTTTGCCTTCTGAGAGGATCTAAATTTGCTGAGCCGAGCCGAAATTGAGCCTAGTCATAATTACATGCACATTAAAACACAAAGCTGACCCCAATCCTCTTAGCCCCCCTAAAACCCACAAGACTGTAGACTTCCCATCAAATTTAATACACAAAACGCAAGCAAATATAAATTATGTCAGCACTGATACACATGAAGTCAGATTTTAACTTTGGCATATTAACAGTCAGTGTTCACTATTCCAGACACCACAGTCACAAGATCCTAGAGGCCATGACATTGGCATGCCCTGGAAATAGAACTCCTATACAGAGAATTCTCCTCTTGACCAAATTTAGGATACTGGGTTGATGGACCATGTGGCCTCCAGATTGGCACTCAGGCCTGGACAGCGTGATCAGAGGTGAACAAAAGCAGAAATCTAAATGGAGCAGAAAGACAAATACGGCAGTCTGTTCATTTAGTCTTTCCAGACAGTTAATGAGGATGGACACTTAATAAAAATGGTCAAATGAAGTGTAAACAATAAGAAGTGTAGGAGGTGGGCTTTAATGGTAGACTGCTGTCATATATCATATACTCTCTGAGATATGTATTAAAGGGGTCATATGATGTTGCTAAAAAGAACATTATTTTGTGTATTTGATGTAATGAAATGTGTTTATGCGGTTTAAGGTTAAAAAAACACATTATTTTCCACATACTGTACATTATTGTTTCTCTATGCCCCGCCTTTCTGAAACGCGTAAATTTTTACAAAGCTCATCTGTCTGAAAAGCGAGGTGTGCTCTGATTGGCCAGCTATCTAGTGCGTTGTGATTGGCCGAATACCTCAAGCGTGTGACGGAAATGTTACACCCCTCACCATACAGTGATGCCATCTCCCGGCACGACCAGACAAAAGCAATAAAACCCATTACAAACTAAGCATTTGTTGCATCCAGTGGGGACATTATTATGGATTATAATGACTTATACTGTCTTTTTACGCGTTGCGTTGCAATGCGCTGCGTAAACATTAAACCATGTCTGCATTTGTGATCGGAGAAATGACAAACAACAAGCCTACTCTCACTGCTCAAAACTCGCATTTGAATCATCAGTGGCAAATTCTTTAAATATAAAAAACTTACTTACAGTCTGTGAGTCAGAAGCGCCAGACTGTCTTTGCAAAGTTGGAACTGCCCCACTTTATAGAAACAGCCTTTGTGTCACAGACGCATTGTATGCTACTGGTTCAGGAAACAGTCCTCATCCTCCATAAAATGTGCTGCACACATCTGAATATTTGGGTTGAACTGTTCTGGAACAGTGTTGTAAATACAGCTTAACCACTGATTTCTAGTCGTGTCCTCTTTTGGAAGGCCAAACAAAGTAGTTTCACTTTCACAATGAAACACAGCATCTCCACAACATGGCGCCGGCGGCTACAGTGAGAATAAAAGTTACGCCTTCTTTCTTTGCGTGAACATTTGGGCGGTGTTAGGCAAATCTTCCCACATCGTGACGTAGCCATGTGGGGGCGTGTTAGAATGAGTCGTTTTAGGTAGGCGTGGTTGACTCTTAACTTTTATAAAGAATATCTCTTTGGATTTGAGACTTTAGTCTTTGCAACTTTACAGATCTTCTTTATGCACCAAGAGCTTGTAACACGCCAAAGAGAAAGAAAAAATTTAAATCGCATCATATGACCCCTTTAAAAACACCAAAGCTCAGTGCCCTTAACGCACACTTAACCCACATTATAAATTAAGGATAAGTGTATCCCATCATGCATCATAAACGTTCCGTTGTAAATTAAATTAATTAGATATTACATATAATTTGGTAGTAAAAGTGTTGTGCATTTTATTGCAAAGATGAGTATATCTGTATTTTATTCACTATTGCAAATAATTTTTGTCATTTAATTAAAAGTGTCTTCTTATAGGGACTACTGAACAGACATTTAGAAGTTTTTTTTAAAAATGCAAAGTACTGAAAATCAAAATAAAGCTCTGTAAACACTTGGAATTTTACACTGTTGGCTGCGTTCAATTCGGAAATCATAAGTTCTACACACCACTTGAACACATGAGCCAAATACAGGAAATCTATTAGTTCTGGCCAATCATAACTAGATTTGAATCATCGTAGTTTGCTACCATCTGTAAATTCTTTATGGAATAAATAATGTAAACATTCCCCTGCCCTCCGAGTCTTTCTGGTAGAACTGGCGGAGCGAAAATACACAACAAAACTGGCAATGTTGTCTAAACTGTAAGTTAGCCTACTCAGTATTACCATCTTGTTTACTAAGCTGTTTAAAAGAAATATGATGCAATAAATCATGTTGCTGGTCTGAATTGACCACTCCTTTACCTAAACTATGATGAAGCATTTCCACAGTAAAATGTCATTAATCTAGCCATTTTTATATACAGTAAATAATAGACCTAATAATAATGCACATTTATAACGCTATTTGTTAGCCTGCCATTTTTAATTCAGCTGCTGATGAAGTGACTGCAGACACATTTGACTTCTTGAATATCAGATTGTTTATTTTGTAGATGGAGCGAATGGGCATGCAAATACAAAATTTGCTATGGTCTCCTCTTCTCCCATGTAGGCTAGGCTACTTCTACAGATGTTTACAGTTCAATAGTTTACTTCTACGTTCCAAACCTGGACACATGAATAGGTTTCATTCAAAGCAACAGTCTGGAATGTGTGATATTGCTTTCAACTTAGCAAGCATTAAAAACCTGTGAGCATGCATTTACAATCTGTGAGAAACAATTTGAGAAAACTCTCAGGGGATTGAAGCAGAAGGTTTATCACCTGAACTATATTAACATTCTGCTGACCCAAACTCCACTGACCCTCAAATTTCAGAGGAAAACTCTCAACTGTTGTGGAGGTTAGGAAATAAATATGCGATGTTAATCATCTTGAGTGGGCATGATTTGAAGAAGTCAGGGCAGAGTTAGCTGTATTCGTCCCTGTTTCCATGGCGACCCCAAAGTGCTGCTAGGAGGTGTGACGCTGCTAGGAGTGTGGCATGTGCCAAAGCCTACTGCTTATCCCTCGTTCGCTAAGTTTCTATTCATAGTGCTCAGTGGTGAGCCACGCTGAGGATGGGCATGTGGCGGGTACAGTTGGGCTGCGCAGCCCAGCCCAGATCAGACCGTCTCATGCTGATTTTAGAGAAATGCAGGGTAGAGCGTGAGGGGGACTGACAGAGCGCAGGTGTGTGGATGGGCTGTCTGCAAAACCTCAATTCTCAGTAGTTCAGTTCAAGTAACATCTGCTATCCAACAGCCACGGGCTTTAGGTCCATTTTAAAAGAAGAATGTTCATTTTAGTCATGAACAAATAGATTTATTTCATTTTGACTTTAGTGATTTTCATTTAAATTTCATTTTGCTTTTATTGAAGAAAGGTTTATGCCCACCTATATAATTCAATCCATATATACCTCAACATAATTTATTGCAATTTGATTTTTTTATTGTTGATTTTGTCTTGTTATTAAATTGTTCAAATTTCAGATTCAAATTGTATTTGTCACACACACACACACACACACACACACACACACACACACACACACACACACATAATATGATACAGTGGAATGCTTTTTCGACTCTCTGCACATAGAATGAAATTAATATAAGAAAAACTGAAATAAAATTGGAACATTTTAGTTCAACACTGTAAAAAATCCAACTTGCAAATTGTTAACTCAGTTTAAAATTGTAAGTCAAGTGGACACATTTTGAAGCACATTGTTGAGTTTACTTATAAAAACGATTTAACGGCATGTTTATTACTGCTTTGTTGAGTGAATGTAAGTACATAAGTTGAGACAACGTAATATTTTGATTTCATGGTCTGCCGTTAAACTGCCTGTTATTGCGCATGCGTGGTCTCTCTTGGCGGTATTTTGCGCGGGGTCTCCTCTTCCAGCCACGCCATCAAAGGGACTGGATTTCGCCTGGTTGAGGACTTGAGGTAAGCTTTATTTTAAGATTATTATTGAAAATAAACTGCACACATCGAATGTAAAGTGCAATGATATGTTCCTACAAGTCAAAACTCGGTCTGAAGCACTTAGTTTTATTTTAAAACGAGCCCAGACAGCGAGTTAGCGATCTGCATAAGGTTAGTTCAGCTGCTAACAAGATTTGCATCAAAATACACGGTTAGACTGGTATTTAATTCAATAAAATGTACAGAAGTGGATTGTGTTGTAGACGTGTCAATTTCGTTCATTAATATCCACTTTGATTTTGTCTAACGTTGTATTCTCGTTAAAGTAGCGAGTTTAATCGTGATCTATTTTTGATTGTGGCTTCAAACGAATATGAAGAACGGTAAGATTTTATTATAAGTCCCGTTGGTCTGACCACAACACAGTCCAATTGATAAGAGTTGTCATTTCTGTCGGATATAAGAAATATTAATGAGCGAATAAAATGAAAACGGAACCAATTCACGCTGCTCGTTTGCGCTGTACCGGACCGTTTAACGTTAGATAGCGCAGCGCGAGCGTTGAGAGATCCGGTGAAGAGGAAATACACAGCAGAATTATCAACTTCGCTGCGAGATCTAAGTTAGTAAGAATCATTCAGATTCGGTACAGAATTATGTTATTAATCAATAGATGGCAGATAACAGAGTGCTGACGTGAAAACCAGGATGGATATTGTGATATAAAGTTATAAGAACGCCTTTAGTCCACATATCTTCACAGTAGCAGAGAGGTGCTCCTGAAACACTACAGGTTTCACCACTATCAAGGGCGATCCTGGCAGCAGCCTTGCCTGTATACTGACTGCATTTGCACTTGCAAAACTATAGGTGCGTTAAAATCCCATTTGACAAGAGCACACAAACAGACTGGTGCAGTGACAGAGCACTTTAATTTTACATGCCATTTATGTGATTTTAAAGATGTTTGTCAGCCATCTCAGTTTTTAAACCATATCGGAAGCCATTTAAAGAGACGATGCAGTCAAATGTCCTTTTAAGGATTGTGAGTTGACTACCAATGTTCTTTCAACTTTTAGTAGTCACGTGTCTCGTAAACATAAGTCTCAAGGTTTCAATGATTTTAGCTCTTCTGTTACATTTCAAATTGATGATTTGGAAAGCAATGAAGAATCATGGTCGGAAGAGACTGGAGATACTATACCAAATCCACAGTCATGTGTTACAGCTAACAGCTTTTGTGAAACAAACACACATTCAGAGCCTGTAGACTATATAGGGCTAGAGTGCAAACTTGCATCATTGATCCTTTATATGCAGACAATTTTGCATGTTTCAAAAAGTGCAACTCAGGAGATATTAAACTGGATGAGCGATATTGTTTCATTCTTCCCTTCAAAAGGAAAGGGATGCATTACATGAGGAATTGAAGAAGAAACATCTCAACATGGCATTTGTTGACTCGAAAATGGAATCGACATTCTCATTGAGAAGGAAGGAGATAGCTGAAGAAGAACCTCTTGTAGCTGATGTACTAAGACAATGGCCAGCATTGTTTTTGGAACATCAGGTAAGTTTTAAAGAGTAACTTGTGTTTTTTTTCCCCCTGTAAGATGAATAGACTTACTGTACACTTGCTGTATTCTTATTGTTAATTCAGATTTTTCATTTTTTTTTTTAGATATGTGCTGAGTTTTACAGAATCACACAAACAAACCTGAAGAGTAAATTTTTCTCTTCTCTGGATGAATATACACCGCGGATGATCAAGTTGTATAGGGTACGCGGCGGAGCATATGGAGATAATATGAAGACCCTCCTAGACCAACTTGATAATCAGGTAATTATTTAGATTGTGTTCCTACATCTCTCGTTAAGGGGAACCTATTATGATTTGTTGGGTTGACTTTCTTTTAGTGTGTAACATAGGTAATGTAGGATTTTGAATTAATCTAAACACATGATGCATATAATTTATTTGACATATTTCCATAATTTTTCCATATTCCATATCGATGCATATCATTTTTTCCATGTTTGTCTTTCTTTGTCTCTCAGACCTCCAATGTGCTTGCTCATAGAAAGGCTACAGCTCTCAAAGGGAAAAGTGAAGATTTCCTGAAGACTTGCCTGGTAAGATGATTTATCAGCACATACATTTATACTTCAAATCCATCTCCAGATCCTATCAGGGGGTAACAGTTTTGTCTGGAATCCAAAACTAATCCATTAACTCTACTGTCTGCCATGACATAGGAGACAAAGTGATGGTAAAAGTAGTTTATTAATTTGAGTTTCTCAGTGTTTGGATTTCTGATTTCATCTGAAAACACCATTCAAAGTATTATTCTAAAGCAAAGATAATAGTTAATTACTGCTGCAAAACACTGTCCTGAGACATTGAAAACCTTGAGATGGAGACATTCCATCTGACCTCCAACCTGTGAAAAGAATACAGCACACAACACAATCATAAGATTAAGCAGTAATGTAGCAAAAACCAAGGGTAAGTGAGATTAATATGAAATGATACACCAGAAAATGTATATAGAAAAAATAAACAACAAATGAAATGATTTACTTACCCTTGTGTTTTTCGCCCTTACTGTCTGAATGCAGTTGCAGAATTCAAAAAAAAAAAAAAAAAAGGCTTTTGACCTTGTGTAGCGAATCAGCTCATGGGGAAATATGAATAATTAACCATAACTAATTATGATTAATTATTAATATTTTAGATGCACTGTAGATATTTAGCTGACCACTCAGGGTCAACCGTCTTGTCAATTCTAAGAACGTTAATTTCCTGGTTAAAGGAAATAACTTTCTTACTGTACAATTCTATAAGTTTGTAACGTAAATCTGCATGATTATTGACTCCGGTTATGAGTAAACAATGAACACGTCAAGTGTGATACAAGTAAGGTTTTATTAACTACATAAAAACTTAAACTAGTCTAACATACTCCCCAGTGCTCAGCAAGAGTCCAGTCCTTCAAAAGCAAACTGTCAATGTCTAAATAGCTGGATATGGATAAGGGAAAGCACTTAGCTGTTGCTGTTGTTCCATCTGATGTTTCCGTAAAAGTGTCAAAAGAGGAAATATTTTAAATTTTAATGTAATGAACCTTAAATGTTGTTTTTACAGTTGTAAAACTGGATTGCTCAAACACATTTGTTGCCATTTTTAGAATCCTGAAGTCTTGTTCATAGACATAGCACTTTAAGACTGTAAAATCACTTTAAAAGCATTCCAAGAAGAGAGGAAAGTGTTCTTTTGCCTCTTAAGGGGCCTCAATGTGAAAAATTGTGAATAAATATTTTCTGTAATGATGGCATTGTTTTACAGCATGGCTGAGAAATATGGATGAGATTATTCATATCTAAATTAAAAGATGAAAATAAAGTTGAATCAACTTAAAAAAACAAGGCAGCCAGCTGCAAAGCTTTTTTGAGTTGACTGAACTTCATGCCCATGTAGTTGTGGCTACTTGATTTTTAAAGTTCGCTCAACTCCCTTATCCAGCTTCACTGAACTTTCAAAAATGATTTGGCACAACTTCAACCACCGAAGTTGAGTAAACTCAAAAATGCTTTGCAGCTGGTTGCTTTATTTTTTTAAGTTGACTCAGCTTTTTTTTTTTTACAGTGAAGTCAGAATATAAATGACATCAATTACCATAAATCAGAAATAGATTTTACAACACAACAATGTAAAGAGAGAGAGAGAATTATTATTATTAATATTTTATTATTATATATTTTTTAACAATGTCTTAACCATTTTCTTATTTCTTGTTTAAAAAAATGTTCATGTACTTATTTTCTTATTGATTTACAGATTCTTGTTTTGTTTATGCAATATATAATCATTATTTGTTCTTTTGTTCATGTAATGGTCAATGCTTTGGCAATACAGTAAAGCTCACTTGAATTGAATTAAATTGAATTGAATTGAATTGAATTGAGAAAGAGAGAGTAATGTAACAGGTATATGTATATGTTACATATATAATGAAAGTATGTAACAGGTACCGTAAGTTACTTGTATATTTGTGGTAGTTATATTATTTGTATTATTTTTAGTATTTGTAATAAGTAATACAGTATAATACATTAAAAAATATAAAACAATAAAATATTTGTATTATTTTATCTGTATTAACATTTTTATTATTTATGTCATGAAACAAAATATAATTATTCCTAATTATTTGTTAGCTCTCATATCCTTACCTACAAAAGCTTCCATGTATTTACGGCTCAGTGATCTCGATTCTGCAATTGGACCCAAAAGTGTTCTCACACAGAGAGAAGAGCTCAACTAGTCTGCCACTGGACAGTTTTTTGGGGGGAGGGCAGAGGGGTTGAGCCTGGGGACAGAATCTATGTAAATAACAGCTTTTGTGGGTGATTGTTCAAGCTCAATTGGCACCTCTGTAATGGGCTTTTGTTTAGTGGATCAGTGAGGAGAATGTCACGGCTCTATGCCACAGAAAACAAGCCATTGTAGGCTCTGCCTGTTCAGTGCCAGGGTCACAGAGAGTTGCTGAGAGAAATTGATCTGGCCAGGCTTAACCCCTAGTCTTTCATATGTCTATGGCTTTGGCCAGCATTGGCTTTGTTAGAATCAGCCTAAGGTCTTTCCAACCCAATGATCAGCACTTTACCCCCCTGGGAGAAGGGAGAGAGGCAGTGGACTGCACTGAAGCCACCTTTATTACTCATTGTGCCCACTGGTACATCAATAGTGTTGGGTAGAAGCCTGAGCAAAAAAACTGCTGGGAAAGACACTTTGGAATAAAAACCCTGGGGGAATCAGCAACAGCTTGTTGTTGTATTGTAGGCTGCCTGTACACAGAAAAGTCCTTAAACAAGCTGTTTCACAAGTTCACAGTGCAATACAAGTGTGCTTGTGTGTTGTTTATGAAATCTAGACTTAGAAACACCAAAAGTGTAATTTGATTGCATGGAAACTATGAATCAGGTACAATATTTAATTATTTCTAGATAATAAGATGAAGACAGATTTTTCAAATGCTTCAGGGACACTTCATATCTTAACTGAGAGGGACGAGTCTGGACACATCCTACTGGCCTACTTCAGAAGACACTTTGTGGAACAGAGTGGCAAGCATGAGGGAGCTTTTTTCTTGGAGCAGATCCCAGGATATCTGAAAACCCTGGTGAAATCGCCAATTGCCACAAGGTTAAATAAACTAGGTCATTTAGTTTGGACAGCGGGTTATTTAAATAACATCCTAACTCCATTTGCACCAAGCTCAAAGCTGTGGGTGAAAATATTCTGAACTTCAAATTTGTAAAAATGACCATTTATTTTTACCATGGTATTCTTTTAGTGCTAAGCTAAATAATTAAATAAATGACCTGTAACCAATATACCAACATTGGTTACCAGCATTCGTCATTAAAAAGGGTTATTTTGCAAATTGCAAAAAACTGTCCTAACTAATAATGCATGGGTGTTAACTTGAATAGCCTGATATGTTTCTACCACGCTGTTCACCTGTCATTCAGCCTCAGCAATAACAGTGTGTGACATAGTTATTCAGAAAAACTCAAAGGATGTTACAAGAAGGAATATCACTTCTCAGAAAGAGTCTCTAAAACCATTGAACAGTAAACAGCATCACCTAATGATGCTCAATCATTATGGAACAGTCTACTGTTTTGTAAACAGAAAGAAATTCTCGCTTTGTCAGTGCTATGGCATAGATTCCTTCACTGAATAATAATAATAATAAGTTTGGGCAAATCTTTAGGACTTTCTGATCTATTTGTTATTAGCATGATTGTTTTGTTATTCTTTTTACAAATCTTTATTACAAATGTAAACATTCTGGTTTCTGGCTTTATTATTTTTTTTAATCTTTATCATGTTTTTTTTTTTATCTGTATCAATTCTATTGTAGAGAAGGTTCCCAATTTAAATTTTACTTTCACTTTTTTATTATTAATATGGGCCACAGTTTAACATTTTAATATCGATGAGCAAATATTTTCCCAAGAGTGTTTATTTAAGTTTAAGTTTTGCTTAAGAATGGATCAGTCTCATATCACATGTGGGATTCTGTTCTCTGAAATTTGCTGAAATGTTCTAGAATAACAAACCCTGCTGAATGTGCCCCAGGTGTGTCTGTAATGAGATGGAGCTGCATGTGTGTCACTGATGCAGGCCATATGTGAAGTGCTCTGCCTCTGACAGGTCCAGCAGAGGGGAACCGACTGCACAGCGGAGCACGTTTAAACTGCTTTATGCTCACCAGTGAGTGTGTCCCCTGTGGGTCTGTACTATGTCAGTACTTGTTTAGCAAAACATGAAACTTTGTGTGAAAGATAACAAAGAGACAATTAGCTACTCGTAACTATCCATGATATACACTCTTAAAAATAAAGGTTCTTTATTGGCATCAATGGTTATATGAAGAACCTTGAACATCCATGGAACCTTTAAAATGCAGAAAAGGTTCTTTATAGTCGAAAAGGGTTCTTTAGATTTTTTTCAAATGTCCTTCAAAGTGGTTCTTTTAGGAATGGTTCACTGAAAGGTTCTTTTGGGAACCAAAAATACAAACCCGATTCCAAAAAAGTTGGGACACTGTACAAATTGTGAAGAAAAACAGAATAGCATAGGGTAGGCCTACTCAACAGGCGGCCCATCTGCATTAATTTTGTGGCCCGCGTCATGCTGAAGTATTTTTATTACAATTTGCGCTCAAAATATTAGGCAGTTAGATTTTTATTAAATGTATACAATCTCAGTAGTAAAAGCTGCTCGATCTCTGCAAGCGCTGTAACTAACGTGCAATTAAAAAGCAACACGCGGCATGCCCCATACAACTTAAAAAGCATTGTCCAACAAAAGAGGACATGATAATAACATGATTTTACTCCACAACATCAGTCGAGTGTTTGAAATAACTTCATTTTGTGAGCTGATGTGCGGTTTTTGTCACAGAACGAGGCAGATAATATGTTCTATACGGTAATATGTCGATTAGCATTGGATTATAAATATACTTTATGGACCTTTTTCACATTTCCGGGTTTCTCAGCAGCAGAAGTCGTCATAGTTGGGTTAACTTGAATAGCAGTACTACAAATATATTTTTTGCATTCCCATTTGCTCAAATAGCAAAAGAAAAACTCCATGATAGTGTTTTCATGACTTTCAATAAAAGGAAAAAAAATTGAGAGAGACTGATAATGGCTGCCAGAAGAGAGAACTATGTCAAATTTACCATCTGTCCCATAGACACTGCATTAGAAACACCCTCGCATTAGCGTTAACTTTTTTTTTTGTAATTTGATGCAAAGGTGATATAATACAAAGAATAATGTTATAAATGTACATACATTTTAAAAAAATACAAATATGAAAAACTTTCGAGGATTTACGATGCTGATGACCGTTAAACACAGTCACAGTCTTGTGAAAAAGGTCCATTATTTTAGGCTACCTATACCAGAGATGGCTTGAGAACACAGCTAAACCATTTATTGTCGCGACGT